TGCAGAATTAAATCTACATAAATACGGTCAACTGATCTTTTACAGTTTTGTTTTGTTTTTTTTTTTGCTCGAAATGCCCTCATGGCTGGTTTGGCACGTTTGGCTGGTTTGGCTGGCTGGAGAGTTGTGGGGATCGAACTACAGCAACCTGAGGCTGACAGCTTTGTGGAAGCAGCCACTTAAACAACTGAGCTAAGGCCAGGCCCCAGATCTTTTACAGGAACGAAGGAACACAATAAAAAAATGAGTTCTTTCAACAAATGGTGATAGGGCAAATGAATATCTGCATCTGGACATACACATTTGAAAAATGAAACTAAACACATAGCTTACACCACTCACAAAAATTAATTCAAAATGAATCTAAGACCTAAGCATCAATCATAAAACTTTTACAATTTTGAAAAATAATAACAGAGAAAATCTAGGTGATTATGAGTTTAGCAATGAATTTTTTGGATAAAATATCAAAATCAGGATCCCTAACAAAAATAAGCTAGACTTCACCAAAATGAAAAAATTGCTCAGCAGTTAAGACACTGTTAAAGGCATAAAAAGACAAATTGTAGACTGGAGAATAAACACCTATTTTTAAAAAGCTTTAAAAACTCACCAATAAGAAAGCAAACCAACTAAGACAATGAAGGAAAAAATCTTAACAGTCACATCAACAAAGATTAAGGATGGCAAATAAGCCTACGGTGATGTTCCACAGCCTATGCCATTAGGGACTGAAGATTAAAATGAGTTACCATTATAATTTTTGAAAGAACTAAAATAAAAAAATAACAACAAATGCAGCAGAGTTGTAAAGGAACACAACTTTCATTGATGCCCGTTGGGAATTCAAAAAGGTACTGCCACTTGGAAGACAGGTGGTTTCTTACAAAAGTAAACATAATTTTACCATACAGCCAAGTAATCATGGTACTCATTTCTTATCCAAAAGAGCTGAAAACTTACAACCACACAAAATCTTGTACATACATGTTCATAGCTGTTTTATCTGTAACTAAACCCGGGT